TTTAAACCCCCCCCCCCCCCCAGTAATGTGCCTATTTTTCAACAAGTATACGTATACGTTTGCAATACCGATACGAAGAAAACAACTCGCAAGTCATACTTCTATTCTATTCTTGAACGTTTTTGGATCTTGCCTATCGATAAGAGCAAGCGATCGATCGGTATCGATCGGTGTAATGTAATTCGTTTAATTTATAATCCATTTCTATGTTGCCAAAACTGGAAGTAAGCGTTTTACAAGCACACCTTCTGTTTTCTCATTTGGATATTATACGCTCGATTATACACTCGAACGAACGTAGAAGCTTTCGGAAAGAACGGGCAGAGTTGATTCGTGAGTGCAACCAATGACACCCTAAAAATTGTTCACCATCGATTACTTTCAGAAATGGTACGACGAGCATTGTGCTTCAAGGAAGGGCGAACAAGTTGCATTTGCACAAAATACGGTGTAGTCTTCAGATCGAACTTTCTCACTGTCCGGCTTGTAATTCTTTGTATCTCGTAACCTGGCCGTCTTCGCTCGCGTCGCGCACACCGTCACTTTAACCGTCTAGAAGTCTCTTTGGACAAACACTGGCCTTTCCTTGTAGATCGAACGACTACGAATCGAGTCCGTGATCGTACTTGAATCAGGGAAACGTGTGGCACGTCCTCGATATTTCCTCTTCGAAAGTATCGTTCGAGAGGAATAATGTCGTGAAGATGACACGATGACTCGATTGAGTTAATGTAATACGATAAAAAGGCTTCGGATAAGAATACTCGACCAATAATCGTAATTCGTAAGATAAGTAACTCGGAATGGAACGTGCGGAACACACGCGCACACACGCGCGCGCGCGTGCAAGGAAGAAAACACGATGCTAAAAAATACTTCTCGCGTCCCAAAAAGTACACGTTCACCATTCATTCGTTGCGTACATGGACATAAGTATTACTTAATAACGAGTCCAGCTGATCGTAATCGTCGTCATGAATCACCGAATAAGTATGTACCACAAAACTGTGTATACAGAGAAACCGAATGACCGATGCATTTCCGTTTGGTTATCTTTGATTCGTTTCTTCGAAATTCCTGGTACATAATACTATTCTTGCCAGCACAATTTATTGCAAAAAGATGTGTACATAATCAACAACTTTCAGCACCGTGTCCGTTTGATGTGATGTAATTAAACCAAGACGTAAAACAAAACGGGAGAATATATTAATACAAAGTATAAACACAAAGTATAAATACACCTCGTGTATAATTAGTACTGTATTCTGCATAAATTTAACGAGAAATAAAAAAGATACTCGATTAGTTATTGTTGTTCGTTATTTGTTTGTACCTACCTATCGCATACAAAGCGCGTTGTCAAAGTTATTTCTCGTGTACCTATACATATTCGTTTATCGTTCTATCGTTGGTTATTGTTTATTTTCATTCGGGTATTTGGCTTGTTGTTTATTTTTTCGCGTTGGCCTCGATGCTCGCCCAATACGTTAATTACGACAATATTGGTCCATAAAAAAAACTAAACCAAGGACACGGAACTGTTCAGAAGGATCTGTTGCACGGGTGCGTATCGTGTAACAAAATCAAACGACGCACGAACCAAAATATAATTAGTTAACATAATACGTAATACGATCAAATTTCAAACAGCAATTAACTACGTATCGCAATGTTGTCATTCGTTTTTTCACACGACATCGATGCAGCACTTTATCGTGAACAGTCCTGTGTGCCCTTGGTTTACTTTTTCAAACCCTGATTTTCCTATAATGAATATTTTTAGGCGAACCTGCAATCAGCATATAAGCAACGGTAACGAAAGAAGATAGCAATAACGAAACGACAACGATAATAATTCCCAACGAAAGAAAATGTCGCGGCGATACGTCTGCTGCGTGTGTCGTGTTTGACACGAAAACGAACAATTTCGAAAAAAGTCGTCGCCTGCGAGGACTCTGAAACAACTAGGGCTCTCTCTCTCTCTCTCTCTCTCTCTCTCTCTAACACCTGGACTTTGTCCAGGTCTCCTTGAGACCTGGCTGCGTACAGCACGCACATGGGAAGGTTGGAATTTTCGCGTCCGAAAATTCTTTTACATTATGTTGCGGATCCGCTACAACACGCTCTCTTCGTTTCATTCGGGTTCGAGTCAGAAGAATCGGAATTGAAAGAGAGACGGTGGTATCCGTGGAAACAATGGCGTTCGTCGTTCGCTCGGTTTCACGATTCGTTTCGTAGGTACGCAGTTATTATTATCCGAAGGAGATTACGGAATTTCGATTGGGACGTCCTGATGCGTCGAGAGAGGTCCGTCCAAGCATCGTGGGAACTGGCGAGAACACGAACAGCATTGCGAACTAAGAACCGAGGATGCCCTTGAAATTTTGTTTGAAATAACCGTTATCGATGCGAAACGTTGAACGTTGAACGTATCGGGGGTTTCGAGTATGCGAGTTTGCAAAATGAATTCGAGGTGTTGATCTGTACAAGGAGAACTTTATTTACTCGACAAACGGTGTTTGCTCCATCTAGCGGAAAAACGCAGAAACCGCTAGCCAAAATTTATCGCCGATAATCTGTCTAACAGTTTGAGCCTTTTGTCACTGCATCGATTGGCGCTGTACGGATATCGGAACGGAGCTTTATTTTTTCTTCGACAGAGGCGCCACATGCAGCGTGTACTGCAGGATAACCAAAAACCGTTAATTATGGCGATTAATTAATAATAACGATATAATATAGTAAAGACGTTAAAAAAAGTTGGAAAAGAAGACGTAATTCTAAACAGTTATCCTATTTACAGGTATACTTGTTATATTAGGTCGAACAGACAGTACAGAAGGACTTTCGACTATCGATACATAAATATTATTGTTTAATTTTGGTACCGAAATCTATGATGAGAGACGTAATAAAACTATGAATTTAAAGTAAACCACATTAAGATATAAGAATATAAATTTATTAAGAGGGGTCGCTGGAGTGCTGGACGGTGAGTAAAGTATCGTTAAGCAGAAAACAGTAAATTGGTTGATTTCTAGAATGTTAATTTCAGGTTCCAGCCTCTATAATTACAAGACTTGCCATAGCGGAGATTTTTTTTGTAAAGATTACGGAATTTTCGCGTTGGACGAACCAAGAAGAAGTTTAGATGAATAAAAATGCAGACAGTTTAGGAAATGCATTAGCCAGGTATGTTGCAATGATTAATATTAAGATGAGTTTAATCGAATAGATGAATGGTGAAGGTTGTTTTCTATTACAGATTGGTGAAATTGCGATCAGAATGTGAGATGATTTTT